AGACAGATTTTTGTTTTTTAAAGCATTGTGAGGTCCAGGGATATAGCTCAGCTGCCCGGCAAGTACAAGGTCCAGAGTTCAATTCCCAATACCAAAAATGTATAAATAAATAAGCATTGAGAGAGTTGGGTGGGGTGCTGCACATCTGTCAGCCTGGGCATGAGTTCAAGACCTCCCTGAACTACACAGGGAAACCCTGTCTCCGGAAAAACAAAAACAAAAACAAAAACACTAAAAATAAAAAGCACTGTGAGAGAGTGTGATGGGTGAGTGGATAGGAAATGCTGCTCATTAGGAATAGGGTGTGGTGGGGCTGAAATTGAAGGGTGCCCAGAGAGTCTTAGGATCCTGGGTGTTCCACTATTCACTGTTCTCCCAGAAGCAGAGGCTTGACTGAGCCATTGTCCCCACACCTTGCTGCTTGTCCTGTTGTGCCCACCGTGGGATGAAACCTGGTGCGCACCAGGCGAGCACTCTACCACTGAGTTGCACCTCAGTCCTTTTGATATTTTATTTTGAGACCTGGTCTCCCATCCTGGCATTAAATTTGCAATCCTCCTTCCCAAGCAGCTGCTAGGTCACCTTACCTGGCTACAGGGTTGGAAAGGTGAACGAAATGTGGCCCCATGAAGACCTTTCTTTTTTTTTTTTTTTGGTGGAACTCAGGCCCTTATGCTTGCCAGGGAAGCGCTTATTCCACTGAACCATCTCCCCAGCCCCAGAAGAAGACCTTTCTTTTTCTTAGCTCCTGAATGCAGTCTTGGAGGAAGAAGGGTGAGCAGGTGACCAGCAGCTCACCAGCAAAGCCGTCTTTCTTCACTGAGGTCAGCTGCAGTCAGACCTCTCCTCAAAACTCTGTTTTTCGACCTGAGTGGGATACAGGGTCTCTGTAAAAATGGAATTCATCGGACAGCTTCTTCCTCATATTCTCATTTTATGCCTCTTTTTCCTGGTTCTTTTTTTTTTTTTTTTTTTTTGGTGGAACCAGAGATTGAACTCAGGCCCTTGCACTTGCCAGAGAAGCACTTATTCCACTGAGCCATCTCCCTGGCCCATTTTTCCTGGTTCTGACCCCTCCACCCCACCATCTGGTGATGCTCATCCTTTTTTTAAAATTCTTTCCTTCAGATAAGATGAGGTTGAGCAAGCCTTCCTCAGCCCCTTCTTCTGTTTCTCAAATTCAAGTTGGGGCCCCCAACCATCATTTGTTCCCCTCCCTGCTTCTCCTGGGCAGCTTCCAGCTCTGCCCCACCTCCGCCTGCTCCCAAGCTCAGGAAATGGTGCAGGGAGTGAGGCGGTGGCCAGGGCCGGGTCTCTCACAGTGGCTTTATTTAGCTCCCGAATGAGATCACATCGTGTGGCATCACTGTTTCCGCTGAGCAGAGATAGGAGGCTCTGAATAGGTCTAGGATCAGACAGTGGGGGTGGAGAGGGGAAGAGGAAGGGGCTCTGTGCTTCTGCTGTGCTCACCTTCCTGTCTCCCGGCCATCACAGACCACCAGGGTCTCCAGGGGCCCTTTGCCAAGTCCCCTTCTCCGCATGCAGCATCTGCACCAATCACAGTGTTCATCGGCAACTTATTTCACACCATAATGGTCACCAGGGGATGAACCCTGGTA